TTGGTCTTGGCTAAATAGGCGAGATTTAGCTCTTGCTAAAATCGACGTGATTTTTTTAACCTTGTTTGCTTTAATAATGAAGTTAAATCTTGGATTGCTTGTCGAAGCTCATTGCTAAGACAAAAACGTTTTTTCAATTTATCGTAGGCAAACTAAATATCCATGATGTATAGAAAAACTGGGTTTCGAAGCTTCCATTAATAGCTTTATGTTGGAGCACCTTTCATTTTGTTTGAAGAGGCAAGTGGAAGGGATTCATACTTTGCTTCCATCGGGAACTTTGAGGGGTTTGTCTTGGAGCGGTGGTTGTATATTTGTGCGAATAGGTCTTTGGCGCACTGCCCTGCTATACCGATGAATCCTTGCTGAGCTTTCGTTCGTCATTTGACGGATATCGTCAGAGCAGGACACCATGGTTAACGATAATTCACCAAAAACACGAAGGCAAAAAGGGCTTGATTAGGTTGGAATTTGTTTTGACTCACATCACACTCATTTCAAGGGCAATGCACTCACACAACACGTGTGAAATGGGACGCAATCAAATGCGGTAACATTGCATGATCCAAGGCATAAGTGTTTTAGGGGAGGATGCAGCCGTTCGGTTCCAGTTGCACCCATTTCACGCTTCATCTGTAACCACTTCACATGACATCCACAACCTGTTAATTTAACCTTGAGCAAATATAGAGGCAAAGCATAGGACATCCAACCAAAACATGAGATAAATAATTGGACCAAATTATAATATAAGAAAAAAGTAGGTTTGAAGCCTGCCACTTTTCTTGCCTTCGTGTTTTTGGTAAATTAACCATGGTGTCCTGCTCTCATGATGTCCGTCACATAACGGGCGAAAGCTCAGCAAGGATTCATCGGGGTCGCAGGGCACATATACATTATATTCTTCTCATCACAAGTGTTGGTTCGACCTTATCGGATCAGCAAGGTTGAACGAACGCTTAAGGCTCAAGAGACTGCGACCAAGCAGAAGGCCACACCATCTTCGTATTCATATTTGCAATCACTACAAACATTTTTTTCCTCTGATTCCATTGAATAACTCGCTCGAGAAACATCTGATTTCTTTTAGCCAGAATTCCCAATTTTTTAATTATAGGCTTTGTATGGGGATTTTAAGAACCTCGTTTTATTTTTAGAGCCAGTGACATTTATTATCTGATCATACTCTGATTAAGCCCTTGACTGCAGCAACTCTAAATCTTATCATTTTTATATCTGGAATATTGCATTTAAACTTTGAAAGTTATTCATTATAAATTATTTTACATTTCCTTTATTTGTGTGACAATTGACCATGGAATTCAAGCACCTAGCGATTTTTCAACACTGCTTGTCACAACTTAACGGTTAACGTATTAATCGTTTAATATTTGTATTTATTCAACTGTAGCCACAACTTTGTCTTATTGATTTACTTTAATGTGAATGCTTTGCTTAGCTGCTTTTCGAATTAAATGGCTATCGTTATTGGTATCTTGATATCTGTCCCTGCCTTTCGCCTACTATGTGCACTTCAATTCCTCCGGTTCATCTAGTAGGCTATTTTTACAGGGTTGGCTAGTCTATGATTGCGACTGATGAATTTTTTATCAAGCATAATTTCAGCTTTAGCAGTCTTCTATAACTGTTTTTTTTTCCAGATCTCAAACTCATTAACATGCTAGGACCATTATTTGTGATAATGGCTATTTAAGTCTCAATTTCCCCTAGTATTCCTTCACGATTAGCATATATTTACCAAATGATTTGATCTTTTTGTGATGTAGCATAAAGATATCCTCTTAAGGATCCTTCTGAGTTATGCTCTCTTATCAGTAAGTATGGATTTAGTTCGTTGCTAATCACCGTCATGGGAATTATATTATTTTTATCTGACGGTGCTATCATATATTAACTTGATTCAATCGGTTTTAGAAGCGATGCCCAGATTACAGAGGTAGTTACATTAAGCAGAATATTGAGTAGCTTGGCTGAAGAAGCGGTTTAATCCTATTCGTTCTATTTAAGGTACGTTATTTTGGGTCCTCATGTGTATATAAAATGGTTAACTATAATCTTCCAGGCCGGAGATGATTTATTGGGGTTAATCTCTCTCTATATATAAAGCATGCACAGGCTTATGGATGGGACAGCCTACTCTATCTAGGTAGCTACCAGCCGAGTCATAGCTCTTTGTAAATCGACTCAAGTCAAACTATTGGCACAAGTAGATATCTCATTCAAAAGGAAAAAAATAAATCTACTGGTATTCTAAAAAAATGTCCAGCTCAGGCTCGTATTCCATTATGGAAACTCGTGATCGCACTTGCCTATACATATCCAGAAAAAGGCTAAATAAATACAATTCACCTACACTTATTATCATCTTAAAAACCTTGAAATTAGAATCTCCACACTCCTAGATTGTTTCATTTATATAATTTTTCAAAAGCTTAAGAAATTCGGTAACGCGAGACGTCAGATTTTACCGTATGGCTTCGTGCTATTTCTGTTAATCGCAGAATGTAAAAAAATAAGGAAATATATCAGTGAATAGTGAAATATACGAAAGTATTCCATGCAGAAAATGATCATACCGTTATTTAAAAAAAACAATCATAGTGATTTGATTTACCTTCTCATTATTTTTAAACAGCAGAATTTTCCTTAAGCAGAGGGCATCTTGTATCTCCACGTTTTTATCTTTACTTTCTCCCCTATTTAGGACACTCGGATGGTCTTTGCTGTAAATTAGGTCCTCCATGCCCACGTTCCTACAGTCCCCCAGTTCAGTTTCGTGATTTCGAAGTCAACCGAGCCAGTATTGTGCTAGGGCGCAGATTAGGTCACGGCAGCTTTGGTGAGGTTTATCTAGCTACTTGGAATAATTCCGTAAATGTTGCCGTAAAGAAACGTCTTGCTACTACAGATCGAGCAAGATTTATAGATGAAGCTAAAGTAAGATTTCTTATTTGATCCAATATGTCGTACAAGAGTTTTTAAAAACCTAATATCTTTAGATACATAACTTGTATATATTTCATTGTTTTGAAGAGGATTTTCCAAACATGATAATATTTATATGGTAGTCTCGAACTTCTACTTATATACGACAAATGATAAAATTTTTATTATTTACTTACCGCTCCCTTCTTTTATACATTTGTGCTTAGTTATGGATAAAGTTGTATTACTGTTCCTTGTCATTGTTAACTTTAGTCCTTGGTACTTAATGTGCCGCTATAAAAATTAATTCAGTCTTTTTTGGACTGCTTGATCCATTCTCAGCTTTTTTCACCGACTTCAGGATAAGAATTAATGTTTGAATTTATCATATACTTCCACAGGTGATGCATAAACTTCATCATCCCAGGATCGTTCAGTTGCTTGGTGTTTGCACAGAGCCAGAAGATGAGCCTGTATATATAATCACTGAACTCATGGAAAAAGGAGCATTGAATGACTTTCTGCACACAGAAGAGGGTCAGGCCCTAACCCTAGATGATCTCATAGATATGATGGCTCAGGTGACCTAAACCTTGTGGATTTAATAGGCGATAGTTTTATTGTGATTTTATGCTACTATTTTTCTCAATTCTATTTTATTGTATGATTGTTGCCTACCTTGCATAAGTCAGTTCCAAAATGTTATTTTTGAACATGGATGATAGTCCTTGCTGTAGAATAATTGCATTTTTTCTTTAAGCAATGTTTTTTTCCTCCTGATTTTTTTTTACTCACAAATACACATTGCTATTTATAGATTGGTACGCTTTCAATATGCCAATTTTGCTTACACAGATTATACTCACCATTTTCCTGTTTGTTTTATTTATAGGATAGGTAGAATGGGTAAACTGCTAATTCCTTCCTTAATATTTCCTTATATTAATTTCTTAACCACATAAATGTCTCATTTTCGTATACTCTGCATAGATCTCATCGGGGATGTCATACCTTGAGGAGAACAATTCTGTCCACAGAGACCTTCGTGCTGCTAACATCCTTGTTGACAGAGATAATTCTGTTAAGGTTGCTGATTTTGGCCTGGCTAAAATAATGAGCAATCAAGACCGAGCCGACCGAAGTGAGTTAACCTTATTCTTCCGACAGATTTCTCCCCTTTCTGGCTGTATATATATATATATATATATGTTCATATGGATTTTTGTACGTATGTATTTATACACCTGTAGGTTTTGTTATATCATGCTTTACCATATTGCTCCTACTTACACTTGCAAATGCACGCAGATGGCCCCGCAGGTCCTCTGCATTTCATTTGATAACGTCCACATTCCAGGTAAACACCATTCATAGATTCCTGTAACAAAGCGCTAAGCTCCAGCTCGTTACCGTTTGCGATAAATTGGGAGTCAGCTTTCTTAGTCCAGCTTTATATCATGAGTTAACTCTGGCATTGCATCATTCCTCATCTGTTATGATATGTGCCTTATCTACTCCTATTTTAGCCTCTTTTACTCTTTTACGCCTGGCCAATCAAATTCTGGCAGTTTCGCCATCTGTACTGACTATTTATATTTATCTTCGATCGATCATATTTGACATATTTCCAATGAAGTATTGATTTATGCTTTGGTTTCTTTGCTTCCGCTTACTTGCTATTGGTGATCGGTACGGGGAGTTTATAAGAAGTAATTGCGCTCATATGGTTAAGTCGCTTTAGTTTACATTTTCTCATTGGATCATTGTATGTTTTATATATATACGGTAATTATTAACGTCTGTCCCTACACTTTGAGCCTGCTTATGAGATAGGTTTTATTGAATCCTTGGAGAGACCTCATTTTTATTGCATTGCATTTTTATAACAAAACTGGCAAAGGCACATTTATTTGCAAATCCAGGTTACCAAAGCCAAATTATAATAAAGGCATTGAAAACTTATCTAGAAAAGGCATTTCTGGTTATTAACAGGTCTTGAAAGTGCTTAATTTTTTTCATTCCTCTTTCAGCGATTTAGAAAGGATTTAGTTTTATTATTCACTAGAGAGTATCATTCACGCCTCGAATAACTTGGATATTTTTTTCGATTTATCTTCATTTGCGGCCACTATTGTTCCCACCAGGCCCGATTTTAAATATTTAAAAAGTGTTTTTGAAAACATGACAGGTTAGCGTTGATTCGACCTCATTTTCGCAATTTGGTGGGAGTGTCAAAGAGACATTGTTTAACGCACCTAGTCATGTGTCCTCTGCGATAGTATTCGTAATTTCCAGCATCGGATCATTTACATTGTACATTCTCAAACGTTTTGCCGGCATTGCCGGTAAAGCGTGCCATCGTCCGCGCAGACTTACAACTTATCAGTGACAAGTAAAGGCAATCTTCTTTACCATTGTTATGTTCAACCTTTGAGGCATCACTCCCCGCCCCTATTTTTTGTTCTCACATAGCGCTGCATCTATTTCTCTCAACCCAATTCCATATAGTAGATATGAAGACCAAAATGGTGTGGTCTTCTGTTTGGTCGAATTCATGTTGCCCATCTACTTATTCACACAATTATGTGCTTTCGTTTCCTCAAATGTCGACTAAGAATGTGTCGCTACAAATGGGTTTAGCGAAGCGCAATCATCCA